AGCCAACGGAGAGCCCTGCACAAATCATCATGCAGCTGGACAGAAGCCCAGGGTCTGGCCCTGCCTAGGGCATCTCTCTGCTAGTAGCCTCTCTGGTTGTGAAAATGCGTCACCATCAGTGTAGGGTCGCTGAGTCGGAATCCACTGGCTGGCAGGGAGTTGGGGTTTGAAGTACAGCTAACGGTCTCTGAGAGCCCCTGGTCTTGGTAGCTAGCAGAGAGGCTGGTGTTTGCTCCCTGTCTGGCAGGGCTGTAAGGACAGGGTCCTCTGGGTGTGAAGGTCACAGAGGGCCACGTGGTGGCCGTGCCAGACTGCTGCTATGGGCAGCTGAGCCCGAGAATTCCCCTCACCTTCTTTCTGTCGGCTATTCTTCGTCCATGCACTACACCTCGTGGTGCACTTGGGGCGGGGGAGTGTGGTAGCTGCTGAGTACGCCCCCTCTTGCGGAGGGCCCTGCCACCCAGCACAGACCACCAGCCCCTGCGTTTGAAGGCTGCGTCCGGGGCTTTGGTGTGGTTGACACCTACGTGCCCTGCTCCCCCAGACAGCTCAGCAGCCACTCGTCCTACAGCGGCGACACGCACAAGCCCCACAGCAGCACGGCGGAGCTGCAGAGGGATGAGGAGGCGCAGAAGGAGGCCACCTGGAAGCTGATGGAGGCAGACAAGGCTCAGACGGGGAAGGTGAGGCCTGCCCTCCCGGTTCCTCGGAGCACTCCCCACGTGCTGTGTTCCTCACTGCAAACCTGCACAGGTGTGCAAAACTGAGGCACTGAGCCGCCCTGTGACCTACCAAGTCACAGCTGAAGGCACAGTGGCCTCCGGACCCCAGCAGCTGGACTCGGGTTGGCGCCTGGGGGCTCTAGTTGGCTGTAGGTGACCCATCTGGGAAGTCCGAGAGGACAGAGAACTTGGCTTTGCTGCTGGGTTCCCAAGGATCTGGTGCCCTGAAGGCGGAGCTGCTGAAGGGAGCAGGGGTGCCGGGGGAGTGCCTGAGCCGGCGTGGGCGTGGCTGGGGGCCCTTGGTAGAAGGCTTCTCTCCCCGTGCTCCCAGGTCAAGCTGGCTGTGTACTGGGACTACATGAAGGCCATTGGACTCTTCATCTCCTTCCTGAGCATCTTCCTCTTCTTGTGCAACCACGTTGCCGCCCTGGCCTCCAACTACTGGCTCAGTCTCTGGACTGACGATCCCATTGTCAACGGGACGCAGGAGCACACCAAGCTCCGGCTGGGCGTGTACGGAGCCCTGGGCATTTCCCAAGGTGGGCCTCCCTCTCCTAGTGCCCCCACCCCACCCCGCCCACCGATTCTGGAACCCGGGAAATACTTCTGTTTATTTCTATTTCTCGTAGAGCTCGTCCCCCAAGTTCTCAGGGTTTGGCACCTCCCCATACCAAGTCAAACTCAGATGCTAAACACACAGCCGATGCTCAGATAGTCAGAATGAATGTTTCTTGAATGCATGCTTCATGTGGTCCGAGGAGGAGGAGGGATGCCCCTGTGCCCCCTTTAAAGAGGAGGAGAGTTGAGGGCAAAGGCCCCCCAGAACATGGGCAGTATGGGAGGACGTCTTACCTGTGTCACGTTGCCACGGTGCTGTAAAGTTTCCTGTGTGGGCTTGTAGCTGTGGCGTGAGGTAGGGATTCGTTGACGCCAGTGGCTCTCTGCTGGGCCAAGGCTGCCCACGAGTGGACATTGAGCAATGTCAGAAGTCATAACTGTGTGTGGGCACTCCTGGCATCCAGAAACCACATGCCACCATGCGCTCTCCCAACAGAGTCTTCCAGACCCAACTCACCAGGGGCCGGGTTAAGAAACCCCCGTCCAGTCCCGCCCAGGCCCCACAGCATCGATTGTCATAGGGAAACATTTAGCAAGCCCCGACTGGAGGAGACCTGACTCTGGTCTAAACACTCAGAGGAGGCCCCATAGCTAGTAAGAGGCAAGCTTTGGCTGGGCTCCCTCCAGAGGCTGTCATTTGGACCCCTGCCCCTTGGTTTCTGGTTGGGTCAGGAAGGCGATGGTGCAGGTCTGTCTGTCCCCGTGGACTCTGTCGGAAAGCCTGATTGCTCCGTGGTTGAACGGTCTCCTGGCACCCTGGGACGGGGAGGCTTAGAACAAAACAGGAGGGGCTGCATCCCTACACTTGCCTCCTCTGACGGCCTACGGACTCCTCCAGCGGCCTCCACTGTGACTGAGGGAAGCAGAGACCAGAGGAGGTGTGACGTTCACCTGGGTGAGGGCCATTTGTCCCCTGCGGCTATGTGAGATGATAATGCCCCACAGTGAATACAACTTCAAATTCAGTCCCTGGGGGAGCTCACTACACTTCAAGTGCCCTGTGGCCCGTGTGGCTAGGAGCTAACGTATTGGAAAGCAGAGCCCTAGAACCCTGCCGTCGCGATGGGCGAGTTCTGTCTGAGCTTGCTGGCTCCCGGAGAATAGGAATTTAAAACTGGACCCTGGAGCTCTGCTCCTGCCTGGCTGAGTGTGTTTGGGTGGGCGCGAGAGGCGAGGGGCTTTACCTCCCTGGGCTTCATTTTCCTTGTCTGTAAAGCAAGGTAATGCAGTGCTTGGGCCGTGGTGGCATTCTGGATGTGGAGTGGAGTACCAGGCAGCAGAGACTCACTGATTCTGGCTTGTCGCCATGGTCAGGGCTAGGATAGTGGACTTGTCGGAGAAGCTGGGAGCCCCCAGCTACCTCGGCCACCCTGGTCAGCAGCTTCCCTTCTGGCCTGTGTGTAGGAGTCTCCGTGTTTGGCTACTCCATGGCGGTGTCCATAGGGGGCATCCTGGCCTCCCGCCACCTGCACCTGGACCTGCTGCACAACGTCCTGCGGTCGCCCATGAGCTTCTTCGAGCGGACGCCCAGCGGGAACCTGGTGAACCGCTTCTCCAAGGAGATGGACACGGTGGACTCCATGATCCCGCAGGTCATCAAGATGTTCATGGGCTCCCTGTTCAACGTCATCGGCGCCTGCATCATCATCCTGCTGGCCACGCCTATTGCCGCCGTCATCATCCCGCCCCTGGGACTCATCTACTTCTTCGTCCAGGTGAGAGGGGGCACCAGTGCCCACCTGCACACCCACTTCCCCAGCGTGGAGCTGTGCCTTTGGGTTTGTCAGAGGTTAATGCCCCATCTGACTCAGGTGTAGGAGCAGGCAGAATCACTCTGTGACCAAGGGCAGTGTGGTGACGGTGTCCGCCCCCTGGGGAGTGGGCTGCAGGACTAGCTCTCTGCTGCGGGGACCTGAAACATGCTAGAATGTGATCAAGCCTGACCGCCTACTTCCTGAAGGCCAGTGAAAACTGCGAGCCCCAGTAGGAGTCCAGCCAAGCCGACCGGAGGACGGCCCGGGTCAGCCCGCAGTGCATTCTCTTGTAGGCTGGGCTCCCGAGTCGGGACTAACTTGGTGGCAGCTGACACCAGCCACTGCTACATTAAACCAGATGAAATGGTTGGTGTTTGTCTGTCTGCTAACTGCCATTTCTTTTTTTTTTTTAATCGCTTTATTAGGGGCTCATACAACTCTTATCACAATCCATACAAACATCAATTGTGTAAAGCACATTTGTACATTCATTGCCCTCATCATTCTCAAAACATTTGCTCTCCACTTAAGCCCCTGGCATCAGGTCCTCATTTTTTCCCTCACTTCCCGCTTCCCTCTCCCTCATGAACCCTTGATAATTATTATGTTGTCATATCTTGCCCTGTCCGACGTCTCCCTTCACCCACTTCTCTGTTGTCCGTCCCCCAGGGAGGAGGTCGCATGTAGAACCTTGTAATTGGTTCCCCCTTTCCAACCCACGCTCCCTTTGCCCTCCCAGTATCACCACTCACACCACTGGTCCTGAAGGGATCATCCGCCCCGGATTCCCTGTGTTTCCAGTTCCTATCTGTACCAGTGTACATCCTCTGGTCTAGCCAGACTTGCAAGGTAGAATGGGGATCATGGTAGTAGGGGTGGGGGTGGGGGGAAGCATTTAGGAACTAGAGGAAAGTTGTATTTTTCATTGTTACTACATCACACCCTGACTGGCATGTCTCCTCCCCGAGACCCTTCTGTAAGGGGATGTCCAGTGGCCTACAAATGGGCTTTGGGTCTCCACTCTGCACTCCCACCCTCATTCACTATGGTAAGATTTTTTGTTCTGATGATGTCTGATACCTGATCCCTTCGACACCTTGTGATTGCATAGGCTGGTGTGCTTCTTCCATGTGGGCTTTGTTGCTTCTGAGCTAGTTGGGCGCTTGTGTACCTTCAAGCCTTTAAGACCCCAGATGCTGTATCTTTTGATAGCCGGGCACCAACAGCTTTCTTCACCACACTTGCTTATGCACACATCTGTCTTCAGTGATCGTATCATAGAGGCGAGCACACAATGATGGAATTTTTTGTTCTTTGATGCCTGATAACTGATCCCTTCAGCACCTCGTGATCACACAGGCTGGAGTGCTTCTTCCATGTTGGCTTTGTTGCTTCTGAGCTAGTTGGCCACTTGTGTACCTTCAAGCCTTTAAGACCCCAGACGCTTTATCTTTTGATAGCTGGGCACCATCAGCTTTCTTCACCACACTTGCTTATTCACCCGCTTTGTCTTCAGCGGTTGTGTCGGGAAGGTGAGATCGCCGTTTCTTATGGTTCAGTCTAATATTACCAGACATTGTGTTCTGTGATAAACACACACACGCACGCGAAGAAGTTTCAAAAATTTGTAGAAGAACGCCAATATTTTTTAGTTCCGATTTTCTGTGAGCTTTCTGAACCCCCTTGGTGTACATGTGTGTGGTATGTCTGTGTAAATATGTAATACATTATACTTGAGAATATAAGATTCTTAATCTCATCTTCCCCAAAAAAGGTGGTGAAGCAGGCCAGGTTGTTTCCCTTATGACCTCTGAGACCACAGCGGAGCACAAGTGTGGGTGACCTGAAACCTTCAAAGCCTCCCCTTCCCTGGTCGGAGAGCACCAGTGTGGTGCAAAGGTTAACACTTGGCAGCCAGACGGCCTGGGCTCGAATCCCCGCTCTGCCAGTTCTCAGCTCTGCCTGTAGGCCTGTGTCTCTGTGCCGTCCAAACGTCTTGGTCAGACTCTGGGAGGGTTTCATGAAGCCAGACGAGCTGGTCATGGTGTAGGGGTTTGGAACGGTGCCCGGGAGAGCGGACCCGACGCCTGGGTTAGCTGCTCTTCCTGTTGTCCCTCTGCCTGCTCGTCGAGGAGTGGCCGCCCGGCGTCGGTGAAGAGCCTTGCCTCCTGGGCGTGGTTGCCGTGTGCTGTGGAGCCGTGGGGGTTCGTAGCGGCCCTGTGGCACAGGCTGGGACTGTAAATCCTCGATGGGCAGACAGCCACATCGTCTCCCAGGGGAGCGACTGCTGGCGTGCCCGTCAGCCACGGTGCCCCTGGACCCTTCCTCTGGGAGGTGCCTTGTTCACACTTGAGGGGAGCCTGTGGCAGTGATGTCCAGACTCACAGCGCTCTGAAGGTGGGCCGAGGGCCTGCCGCTGACTCCCCAGCCTCTCTCCCACCCCCAGAGGTTCTACGTGGCCTCCTCGCGGCAGCTGAAGCGCCTCGAGTCGGTCAGCCGCTCCCCGGTGTACTCCCACTTCAACGAGACCCTGCTGGGCGTCAGCGTCATCCGAGCCTTCGAGGAGCAGCAGCGCTTCATCCGCCAGAGCGACCTGAAGGTGGACGAGAACCAGAAGGCCTACTACCCCAGCATCGTGGCCAACCGGTGGGTGCCCCGGCCCCCTCCACCTTGCTCCCAGGCCTCCATGCCCACCCGCCTTCTCCCAGGAGGAAGGTGTGGAGCCAAGCTCTGTCCTCCAAGGGGAGGGTGTGGGGCCCCGTCCTTCTAGAATCCAAAAACCCTGCCCGCACTGACGTGGGAACGTCAGTGGCAGCCCTGACTCTCTCTGAGGCGTCTCCCTGCCTCATGCTCAGCTGACAGATGCCTCATAGTGATTGGCAGGTGTCAGGCCGAGTCATTTGCCAGGGGCAAGGTTTGGATCAAACACGACTGAATGGCATCAACCAGGAAAGGGGACAGAAGCTGGCCGGTGGTTTGCTGCATGTAGAAGAGCGTTGCTTCTCCACCTGCTCACCTCCAGATACTGCTTTCTTGAGAGGTGGTGGAAGAGGGCTGAGGGTCAGGTGACAGCCCATCCCCCACGGTAGGGTCCTTGTGGTGGGGATAGCCGGAATTTCTGCAGACCTTGCCCTCCCGCCTCTGCAGGGTCTGTAGGGGATTTGACACCATCCGATCAGCCTGTGGGATATCTCGTGAGCATGTCAGTCACGTGGGTTTCTGAAGACCACGGCGGTAACATCTACCCCTAGTGTGTTTCTCATTTGGAAACATCAAAATGATGTATTCCCAGTGGTGTTTTATATCTCATGCAAGCTGCCTCTACGCAAGTAAAATGGCAATTCTGTTTCAAAGGATAAAGCTGTGTGTGTGTGTGTGTGTGTGTGTGTGTGTGTGTGTGTGTGTGCCTGGCACCCTGGAAGAAAGAGCTGGTGGACTGCCTGTGAAAGGTGCAGCTGAAAACCCCTGGGAGCAGTGCTGCTCCCACACACGGGGAGCCAAGAACCGACAAGGACAAAGTAGTCACCGTGGCATTTTCCGATGGACTTTGTGAATCCCCTTTGTGTGTGTGTACCTGTGCGGGGCTGCCTGCTTATCCGTCATTTTAAAGCCACTCTTGCCTGCCATCCATGTGCTCAGGGCTCTGGCATGAGGGTGTATCCAGCTCTGGGAGCCGTTAGGAAGAGACGATTTCTCTCCACTCCTGACCCAAAGGAGGCCATTGGAAATCCCAGGTGCCTCATAGAGCCCTAGACTGTACAGCTTAGTTCTTAAGTATTTGCAGGGCAGCTGTCAAAGATACGGATGGATAGAAGTACGTTAAAATTGAGATTAAAATGAGAAAAGGGTTCACTCTCTTGGTACCAGAGAATCAGCTTTCTTCCTGGGGGTGCCACACTAGGGAGGTGTGTTAGCCTGGGTAAGCTGGGGAAACATATCCACAGAAGCTCACGTATAAGAGAGAGTTTTATATAAAGGGTAAGTGTACATTAGAAAACATCCCAACCCAGTGCTATCCAAGCCCGTAAGTCCAACATTAGCCCATATGTCCGACACTGCCCTCCTCCATCTCACGAAACACTCACTATGATGCCGACTGCAGGAGGAAAGCTGAGTCAGTGAACGTGTAAGCATCTCAGCACTGGCAGGGGTCTCCACACGGCTGCTCCAGCACCCAGGGCTGCATCAGGGTAGGTCCATGTGGCTTCTCCTTGGGGATGTCTTACAGGGCATGAGCCTTGCCAGGTGAAGCAGGGAACTGGCTAAGGCAGCTGCCCCCTGGTCAGACCATCACAAAGCAAGAGACCTGAGAACTAGAAAGACGAGGCTCACCGAGCCATTTATCTCACCGCCCTTCAATTAACCCCACATGTGTTTATCGGCCAGGTTGGCACAATAAACCTTAACTATCTCAGGAGGAATGGCTGTAGTCGGATCCCTCGGCCCCCTGCCCTGCTCCCGAGCTGTGTTTCATCTCCAGGGGGCTGAGAGGGCCTGTCTCAGAAACTGTTTTGGGGTGCGACTTCAGCGAGGCCGGAGGCGCCACCTCAGCACGGCTGGCTGACGTGGCCCGGGTGTGTCTCACGCAGATGGCTGGCTGTGCGGCTGGAGTGTGTGGGCAACTGCATCGTGCTCTTTGCAGCCCTGTTTGCGGTCATCTCCCGACACAGCCTCAGTGCTGGCCTGGTGGGCCTCTCTGTGTCCTACTCGCTTCAGGTAAGGGGGGCCGCCGCCACCGCCCTGCTTTGTCCCAATGGAGGTGCCAACGGCCGGCTCCCCGGTGGCCTGTGGGAGTCCAGCTGCAAGAGAGCTTTAGCTGCATCTCCTCGACTCTGTGCTGTGTTCCCAACTTCCCCTGAGTTCCCTTGGAGATGATGTCATGGCCCATGCCTTATTTACAACGGTGTTCTTTTATCCTGAGATGCAGGACAACCAAGTGGGGTGGGGGGGAGTCCAGGCAGGGACAGGGTTACACGGGGTGCTATAGTTTGTACTTGGTTATCCGCAGTAGTCCATCACGCATCATTGACTTGGCTCGAGTGAAAGTAGCATGTGCTCACTGGAAACTGCACGTGGCCCTTCCCCTTACAGGTGACCACGTACTTGAACTGGCTGGTGCGGATGTCGTCCGAGATGGAGACCAACATCGTGGCCGTGGAGAGGCTCAAGGAGTATTCAGAAACCGAGAAGGAGGTACGTCAAGAACCCCTGGCCTGACCTTGCTGGTCAGTCCGAAGGGCTTTTCCCAGAGGAAACCTTCCACTCACATCTTGTGTATCTTCTGCCTCCCAGGAGGGAAAGGCAAGATTCATCACCAGGTAGAACTTCGTCTCCTGCATGTTCTGTAATCTCTCTAACACCCAAAGAGAACCACCGGATCTTAGGGCAGGAAGATCTTGTATAGGGATCTTTTCTTTCTTCCAAGGTATGGGATGCCCATATCTACACGGTCAGGGCACTCAGAGAATATCTGTAAATATGCAAGTAACGACTATGTAGATTAATCACTGCTTGCCAGTCAGTCTGTCGGACTGGGATGGCTTGGGTGTGCTGTAGTGCTGGAAGCTATGTCACTGGTAATTCAGATACCAGCAGGGCCACTCAGACTGTTGACAGAGCTTCCAGATTAAGAAGAGATTCTGAAGGAGAAACAGGTTGCCCACTTTTGAGACGTTGGCCACCAAAGCAACCTCATGACCAGCAGCAGAGCACTGTCAGAGACGGTGCCAGCAGATGAGCCC